GGTAGTCCTAGCTACTCGGGAGGCTGAGGTGGAAGGATCGCCTGAGTCCAGGAGGTCGAGGCCGCGGTGAGCCGTGATTGTGCCACTGCGCTCCAGCCTGAGACGCAAATACACGAAGGGGGCAATACACGTCAACAGCCGACACAAGCGCTTGAGTGGCAGTGAGCCTTCGTCCCTTTCTCTGAATCGGGGTCTCACTCTGTCGCCCAGGCTGGAGGGCAGGGGTGCGCTCCCGGCCAGCGCAGCCTCGACCTGCTGGGCTCCGGCGGTCCTTCCGCCTCAGCCTTCCGAGTAGCCGGAACTACAGGCGCGCGCGACCACGTCCGGCTAATTCTTTGATTGACTGTAGAGACGACGTCTCGCCAAGTTGCCCTGGCGGGTCTCGAACCCGCGGGCTCAGGCCATCCACCCACCTCAGCCTCCCAGAGGCGCGGGATTACAGGCTGAGTCACCGAGCCCGGCTTGTTTTTGGTTTATCGTAGAGAGGAGGTCTCGCCGAGCTGCCCTGGCTGGTCTCGAACCCCTGGGCTCAGGCAGTCCTCTCGCCCTGGCTCCCAAGGTGCTGGGATGGCAGGTGCCCGTGAGGCACCGCGCTGGCCCCTCTTGTCTGTTGCTAGCCGTCCTCGGGGATTACGTCTACCGTGTCCTGTCGTCGAGCCAGGCCCACCTGCTGTCTAACCGCCAGCCGCCTCTTAGGGCGGGACACTCCCGGCCGAAGGGTCCTGGCTTTGCTGGAGACCCCGTGGGCTCCGGAGACGGTTCCTCAAAGACCCTATGCACTCCGTAGCCGCACGGCCTGGGACGCCCCTCCGCCCCTGACCCCGTCTTCTCAGAAGCGCCTGCGACGAAACCCACGACCCACACTCGTCGGTCAGAGATAAAACTTTTTAATCTCAGAGTCCCCCAGCCGCGACCCCCCCCCCCGCTCTCCCCCCGCCAGGGCCGGAGAGCGAGGCCCCTGCCCCCCACCGCGGGCGGACGAGGGCCCTGTAAGGCACCTGTTGGGGGGGAGCGGGCGGGCGCTGGTGCCGTCCTGGATGCAGGGACGGGCTTCGACTGTGGCGGGGATGGGACCAAGGAGGGGGTGTCAGACGCAGGGACAGGAGCGGGCCATCCCTGAGGGGGCCGGGGGAGCACGGCGTCAGGACTCGGCCGGAGCGACCCCCGCCGCAGTAGTGTAGAGAACGTGAGTCGAAGGCCGCAGGCCAATTGAGGGCACGAGGGCTTGGCCACGCCCCCAGCGGCCGGAGCCAATCAGACGGGGGGACCAGGAAAGGCGGACGGTGACTCTTGGGGGATTGGTCAAGCCCTTTACAGGATTCGAGCCAATCAAAAGAAAGAGCTGCCCAGTCACTAGGGTAGGGTGGAGAGCCGCTACCCAATCCTAGGCCTTGGCGGGGCTCCGTCAGGGATGGAGCCAATGCCGCGCGAGCAAAGCCCTTGTCGCTAGGCTGAAAACGAGGAGCTGACCCATTCAAGGTTTAGAACGAGCTACGCCCCGACCGGGGAGCGAGCCAATCTCTTCATAGAAAGTCTGTCGCTAGGCGGAAGACGACGACAGACCCAATCGGGAGCCCGGACAGATCCCGCTCCCCGGCGCGGGAGGCCACGGCCGAAAGGGCGGCGAGGATTGGCAGAGGCTGGTCGATCCCGGCCTGGGACGCGGAGGC